AGTTCCAAGTTAATTCCCCTATTGATGAATGCTTTGTGGTATTAATATTGCTTCCTGCTTCTATAAGCAAATATTGTTTCTTTGATGGGTAGTATGAATGGATATTAGTGTACAACATGCTGTACATGAAATGCATGTTTAGGAACACTTAGTCTTGCTGTCAATAGTTTTTAGAAATGTGAGTTCTCTCTACAATGGTTTGGTAATATTGCAAAAATTTTCCCTTACTTTTTCCAATAAATAATAATAATTGTTTATTGCATCTTTAGAAATATACATTTCTTTCAGTATATAGCAATAGAAATATTAATCAATACAGAAAAATAATAAATGTAGTACATTACATATATGAACAATCTATTCAATTTTCTGAATATATGATAACGGTTGCCATAGAGGGGAAAGTGTGACGACGTAATATTAGATGTTGCTTTTCATTGGCTACAAAACCTGAATATTCATACATCTAACCAATCTAAGCACATATTACTTGCTTTAATGCCTTTGGCAAATGACCATATTTTTACCCTGAAACTCAGTTTCAGTTTTCTAATTCCCATATTGGTTATTATTTACAGCTGTTATTACTGCTGGTGTCATCGTTATAGGTGAAGTGACAACCTCCTCTATTAGCATACTATGGGGTGCATCAAACAGTTCTACTGTTAGCGGATATCTACTAAGTATAACTCCATATGATGGCAGTGGCGTCATGTTTCTGCCAACTAATGTTATTTCATACACCTTTGGTGATCTGGTTGCTGGTAGAGAGTATACGATAACATTACAGCTAGCAGGACCCAACACACAGACAGTGATCTCGGTCAGAACAAGTAAGGATTATATAAAATTTATAACGTTTACTGATAAGTTATAAAACTCATTAAACATGTTATTACCTATTGTCACACGCAACGTAATATTACCGTAATTGGTATAGTACAGGTGTGATGGTTCAAATACCAAAATGGCAACAGTAACAAAAAGACTTCCCTGGCGGCGATGATAAAATACAAACACGGAGCCAACAGATGAGGTTTCAACTGGTACTGGTATTATTATACTCTGCAAACATCAAGTACAATAACGCGGCAAAACTCCACTACTCCAATAACTAGATACTTAAACTCCAATACAATTCAACGAGATCTCCGATCTGATCTCGGTGCTGAACAACTCCCCTATATTTACCCACACTGTCTATAAATAGACCACTACATCAGCATACATAATGAGTCTGGAACATACTATAAATTTCTAGAATGTTCCATTAACTTCTATTGCCTCCTACAGTGTTCTATTACCTATTCAACCAGTTTCTAAACCAAATCCAGAATATTCCACCCAGACACAGTACGTTTCTAGAACATTCTCAGTGACACGGGAGTGGTAAATAAGTCGTATGCGACACCTATCTTAAATCATCTTGTACTTTATACATGCTAACTTCCTAAGCACAATGAAAATTCTCTTCTCTTAAGCACTATTAGTACTGTACCTAGTAGTAGTTACTTCTTTTTGTTATACTTTTATTACAATTAGCTAAAATTGAGATACAGCGTAATAAAGTTATTATTGTATGTGTACCGGCATAAAAGTTCTTACAGCATCACTCAGCTAAGAGGTCACTGCAGTTTGGGTTGCACCCTTCGCATGCAGATTAATACTGCTTTTGTTTACAAAATTAAAAGTAAAGCTTTACATTTACAGCTACAAAATGGTTTAGCTTTCAGACTGGTGTATAGTTTACACTCTGGTGTTTAGCCTTTTCACCACCAGACTTTCTCGCCAAAACTTGTCTGCCCTTTTTTATTATCTTCAATTTTTCTGGAAATGCACCCTATAACTAATTTTGGAGCCAACAGACAAAATTTGAATAATTTTTTGGTTTTTCCGAAAAAAGGAAAGTGCAGACTATAAACATTACTATTTTGTGATGAAAAAAGGGAACTGGCAGTGAAAAGGATAAAGTATGCGATTATTAAGTAGATTCATTGCAGTAGGAGCAGACTTTATGTATCATGTAGAATATAGAAACCACCATATGTGAATAGTATTGTGTTAAAGGAACTTTGACTCGCTTGGTTGATAAAACTTAACTTAATGTTACGAACTTGGCGTAGAAGGAAGATTCTCTAGCTCACTTGCAGATAACACTTACATGTAGAGATACCACAAAGGTTCGACCCAAAGGAATACAAATTAGTTAATTACTATCAAACTTTATTCATTCAAATGGTCAGCTAAGGTAACCCCTCGCTGTCCCCTTTCTCCTTCCTTATCTCACAAAACTAGGGATTGTTTTGAAATTATCAAAAATTAAGCAATCAAATAATTTGGTATAGTGCATGAAGTTACTGACACTTCATGTTGTAGAACCCAAAAACAATTTTCACAGTTACAAAATTCCTAATTTTCCTTGACTCATGAAAATTGTTTTTAGTGAAAATAAAATATTTTACAGTATATGATGATTAATGACTTGTGAATATAAAAACATCAGTCAATAATACTCTCATTTTTTTTTTTTTTTTTTTTTTTACTAGAACCTGAATCTCCGGGTCCTGTCGTCGTCACAGATCCGGACATGACAAGTCTGGTGATATCTTGGGGTTGCTGGCATCTGGTGAATTTGATGTCTATGAGATCTCAATAACCGATCTCAATGACGTAACATCTGTTGCTGGTATCGTTAACTCTGATAGTACTTTGCAATTCACAATTATGAACCTGGAACCCAGTACGGCATATCAGATATCTGTCGTTACCAGACTTGGTACCGGGGATGATGCGAGTCGAAGTGTACCAAGTGAAATTACTGGTACCACAAGTATGTATCATTTTATTGTTTCCTAATATGGTATATATAATTGTGAATTTTTAAGACTGCATTGCTTATCTATTATGCAACAACATAGCAACCATGTCATTGGTGATTTAATTTTTTCAGTGATCGTAGTATACGAATACAGAAACTGTCATAATTTAAAGGGGAACCGCTCAATCCCATGGATTGCACCATGTATGCATTTTGCATACATTAGCCGCCATTTTAAACACATGATTTTTACTTGACGTGGCACGCTTTGATCGAAAACAGCAACATTTATACATCAAAAGTCCAACCAGATGAGTGTAATCGTTAGCGTACATATTCATGCCCCAGTAGAAATGTATTTGGAATCAGAGCTTGATCTCTAAACATAGTAAATGGCACATTTCCCGGAGTTCTTGCCATGATGTGAGTGGCTTGGTTCGAATTAGCATACTAATTGCGGTGGCCATCTTGCCCCTATTTATAGTATCGGTTCCCCTTAAACGAGGTACTTTCTCGGATGATTGGAATGCATCAAAGAACTCTTAATATTTTATCAATATTTAAGTACACAAGTAGCAAGATCAAAACTCAAATTTAAGCTTTCTACTAGGAGAGCCCTCCAATATATTAATTCATTGTACAGCACTCAACTTTAATCATCTTTTGCAAGATAATTCATCATACTTATATATTTTTCATATATATTTTTTATCATACTTCATATATTTTTTTTAAATTTTAAATGAAAAGTAGAAATCTAATAATTATTTTATTTGGTCGAAAATTCTATAAAACATTATAAAAAAAAATACATGACAAATTAATATTTGTTGTTGTAAATATAAAGCACACGACCAATATTTCCAACTAAATTTGTCAAAGCAGTGTCTTTTCTGAAAGCAGAAACGATCACATAATATAATCCAGCCCAAAATTTGCTGTCTGAATGACCTGTTGTATGTGTCTCGAAAAATTCTACGAACTTAGAATGCAATCCTAGTATGCAAATTCTATCTAATTACTTTTCACTTGTTTCCATAGCAACCATTCCTCCTGGCAACATCGAAGTGCTGAATGTAGAAGTTGACAGTATAACCATACTATGGGGAGAAACTGATGACAACTCTGCTAACGGGTATATCATACTGCTCACACCTCCTGATGGTGGTTCCTATCCGCAGTATCTTACCTTGGGGACGAGTAGGTTTACATTCCCATCGCTCACTGCAGGGAAAGAGTACTCTATCACTGTGCAGATAGCTGGTCTTAACGAAGGTAGAACCATTTCAGAGCAAACAAGTAAGTCAACCAATGACACAGTATACACATGTGTCATATACTTTTAACAGAAACATGGAATCCTGTTTTGATATCCTTGTTTCATATTTTGAAAGCATTTTATTGACAGATAAATGATTCATACCATTGTGTGATTAATGACGTTTGTCGCGATTGCGGGTTTTCCTAACTGTTGTCAACCTAGAATGATATTCATCTTTGTGTGCAGATGATAACAAGAATTTCAACCGTTGTTTTTTTATTTTTGATCAAAGATCTGTTGCTATTTGGTCAGTTAAAAACATTCTCTTGAAATATTGCAAATTTATATCATTAAAGTAATGCTTGAAGTTTCATCTTAATTTTATCTGTGAGCTTAACTTGTGTTGTCATGGTGAATTTTTACTCACATTGGAAAAATTATACAGCGAACTCAAAAATCATGTACAAAATGTTTCAACACAACAACATTGCATCATCAAACATTCCAACTGTATTGCTCTGATGTACTACTGTAAAATGACTAATGTTCACTGGGTTTAAATTTCACTGATTTACCATTTCAGGCATATTCAGTGGCTTTTAAATTTCATGGTTTTATCATTTAGATATTGTGTTCTATGCTAAATTTTACATTCACTGGGTTTTAATTTGGCGCATTTTCCAGTTAGCGAAAATAAGCAAAATTAAAACCCAGTGAATAATTAACCCCTTTACAGTATCTGAAATATAATCTACTTTTTCTTCGTCTTTCAAAGAACCAACACCTCCAGGTGCTATTACAGTTACTGCTGCCACTCCCACTACTATAACATTCAGCTGGGAGGCAGCCACGGGTGAATTTGACACGTATAGAATATTCTATGGTGTAGAAGGAATGCAGACAGAGTTTGACGGCTTCACTGAGAATGATGTCACCACTTATACTTTGGTCAATCTTATACCAAATACTTTTTATAATCTTGAGGTGGCTGCTAAGAGTGGTGACCAGGATAGTGACAGATCATCAGTACTTGGACAGACTGGTAAGTAATACGGCTAACCTCTATGCAAATGTCTGATAAAAATGTTGCTCATTGATCAGCACTACATGTAGCTTACTATCTTCGTTTACCATTAGATGTACTCTTAACAGGGCTCATCATTTACTAAAGGCCCATTAAGACGCAGTGCAGTTTGTCCAATCTTGTAGAGAAACTTTTAGTAAAATACTAAATTTTAGAATTGAACATGGGCATATCATGCATTCATGCCTGTGTAAGGCAAACCTTTAAAATTTTCTTCTGTGGCATTATACAAAAAGTAACAATTAACAACATTTGATTTTTTTGTTGTTGTAATCTTTACTTCATATAATATTAATATTGTAATTTTCTCTTTATTGTATAATTTTTCTTACCATACATTACCCACAAATGGTAATTGTCGAGTAATAAAGTTATCAATTGATAAATAGCTATTACTCAAAATGTCTAGTAGCTATTTTGAATAGTTGCATGCTTAGGACAACTATTACCAAATATTATTATCTAGTATTAATCTCTATGGAGGGACCTGTATGTAAATCTTTGGTATTTGATTCAGACTAGTTCCACTCTGTATGCATTTCATATATACATGTAACGTACAATATTTGTTTTGTTGCTCCATGAAGCTGTTATCCCATTGGCTGAGATTGCTGTCACATCAGTGAGCACAAGCTCGATATCGATAATGTGGGGTGGCACCGACTCCTCATCTGGTGCTTCTGGGTACCTCGTCTCAATCACTCCATCCATTTATGGACCTTTGTTTGTTGCCTTGGATACTATTGACTATACTTTTAATAATCTGGACTCTGGTACGCTGTATGATATTATGGTTAACGTGCTGGGTACGTCAACTAGCGGCACATATCAACAAAGAACAGGTAAGTGGATGTTTGGTTAAAAAAATAGCAGAAATTTTTGCTCGTCATGTTTGATTCCATGATCTATGTGATATATAGTAGTGTTACGTAACATTTATCTAGCCTACAGCTAGTGACAGCTAGTGACAGCTAGTGACAGCTAGTGACAACTAGTGACAACTAGCTTAGCTTATTTTCAAAACCACTATATGTATGTAAATTTTTCAGAGCAATTTGCCAGAATATAACTTGTATAGTAACATATAAATAAGTTGCAACTTTTGATAAGACTATACTTTTACATAAAACATTTTTGGGTGTTTGTAGAAATATATAGTATACATTTTTGTGTATTTCTTTTTCAGAACCCAAGCCGCCATTGGAGGTAACTGCAGGGGATGTTACAGAGACAACTGTTTCCATGGAAGTCACCATGGCTGCCATTGGTAACTTTGATCGATATGAGTTCTTTTATGGAAGAGATAGCGATGAATCTACGTATGCCGGCATGATACCCTCTGCTTCGCCCTCATTGGAGTTTAGCATTGATGGGTTGGACCCAGACTATGAATATTTCATCAAAGTTAAGACGGCTGCTGGTTCTGGGGATGACTTGATGTACAGTGTCCCATTTGAACTCACTGTATCAACTCGTAAGTTTTCAGTACAATTGAATGCAGTAAGAGTTCAGTTCATATTTGATATTTGAAAATAATATGATTGGCCCTTTGTATTTATATAACCACATCGCAAATTAAAAATAAAAAAACTTGTCATAAATTTGTCGTAAATACAATTTTCATATCATACTCTGGCGACCATTTTGAATTGAAAATTGGTCCACATTTATACATGTCAATATTCAAAAGTTGGTTTGAAACATTTAGAAAATTTTAATATTGATGATCTATTTCTTTCATCTTTCAGTTCCTTTGGATCCTGCCAGAATTGTTGTTCTGGCTGTTACCACGACTACCATTGATATTGTGTGGGGACCAAGCTCCATTGGAGATGGTTACTTTGTAATTGCGGCAACAGCCAATGAAAACCCGCAGTATGCAACTACACTACTGGGAAGCTCACCTAAGCACAAATTTATTGATCTGACACCTGGAACACAGTATTCTGTTACTGTACAAGTGACTGGAACTGACATCTCTAACTTAATCACCCAGACAACCAGTAAGTGCATCTTTTCATTTCAAATCGAGTAATGGCATTGTAGTTTGTATGTGCACCTAATTTCTTCATTTATATGCAGCTTTATTTTTCGAAAAGTAATTTACAATAAAATGGTGGATATCAAATAGTTGATAGAGGTGGATATATATGTTGTATGTGTTGATACACACTAATAACACACCTACAATGTATAATCATTGCTTACAGGACCTGAAGCCCCAGGTACAATAGCCGTTCAAAACGACCAAACGACAACTACAAGTATATCTGTTGTGTGGAGTCCACCGGTTGGTGATTTCAATAATTATGAGGTTTCGTACACTGATGCTGTTAGCATGGAAACTGTTTATCAAACAGTAGCTAAAGATATCAACACACTGATAATTGACGGCTTGGACCATTCTACGCCCTATACTATCACCGTGGTTTCAAAGATTGGATCTGGAGATGATGAGGTGAAGAGTGAGCCTACTAGTGTTGAAGCATCTACTGGTAAGATTCGTAGTGCAGTAATTTATTTATTCAATAACACTCGCACATCCCCATCCCCATTAAGGTTAGATTAACTATAATAAAATGCAAACTGAAAACAACAACAAAAATAGGAAAATGCCACTTAAGATTGTAGTAGTAATTTCTGCGGTATTTACCAGCATTTCCAAATGTCTAGATTTGGTTGTATATTATTAGTCAATTTATTTGAAACTTGGTACAGTTAAATGCATTAATTCTTCACTGTGTTTAAAATGCCCGTGAAAATTACAATTTTTACAGTATTACCGGTAACATCACACTGATACTGATACACATCGTTTTTTTTCAAGTGCTAACTCTAAATGATCATTGTCCATGCCCATTTCTCTGACACACAAGTAACAAATTTTAATTAATTTTTTAAACTTTTGTACGAAAGCAGAAACATTCTCTGTTTCAGTAACATTTTCTTTATATCTCTTTATATTATCTTATTATATTATCTTTATATTATCTTATTATATTATCTTAGCCGCCATTCAGCCTGGGGAAATTATTATACAGGATGTGACAACCACTACGATATCTGTTTTATGGGGAGCACCAGCCTTGCCAACAGTTGGCTACTTGGTATCACATGACCCAGCTGACACACCCATATTTGTCACAGTCACCGAATACATCTTCTATGACTTAGTACCAGGACGAGAGTACACATTAACAGTGGTGCCAACTTCTGACAGTGCCCTAGCTACGCAGATTGTGCAGAGAACAAGTAAGTTTAAAAATCAAGGGCAGATGATTTGAAGGGTGATCAACTGCCTTGATCATGCACGGAAATATTATTGAAATCACATACTTGTATAAATCCATTCATTTGACATCATTTGGTGGTTATATATTAATTTTTTAGAGCCAATTGCCCCTGGCGATATCCAAGTTGACGTTGACGGGATTGAACCAACTAAAATCCCAATATCTTGGGAGGCTGCGACTGGTGACTTTGACGGGTATGAAATTAGTTTCATCGCTCCTGATGGAACCGAGACAGTGGCAGATTTGGTAGCAGCTGAACAACTGGACTATACATTGGTTGGCTTAGAACCTGGTATTCTGTATACTATTCAAGTTTCCACCAGAGTTGATGGTGTTACTAGTGAAGTATCGGAGACGCAAGCATCCACAGGTAAAAAATCTTATTAAGTGTCATGGTTTTTTTTTCATTTCTTTTAATCTATATTAAATTCATTGTTGCATTTTTCAAAAATGCATTAAATGAATTTATTAGATCAGATGGCCTTGATGAAATCTTTCATCTGCATGAGATATTACTGAATTCACCACATTTATATTCGTATGAGCCACATATTATTCATGTTTATGGGCCTAAAACCCCAAACCTTAATAATGGTCTTTTGACAAGCATAAATTAAAGCCATTAACATTTCATCCAATCACAATTATGCATTTGCAGGTCTGATGGCAGGTATAATTTTAATGACTCAAGCCAGTATATTGAATGTTGTATATTGTTTTATTCATTCAACTTTACATGGAAGTAAAATCTCACACAACATTTGGAGACTTGTCCCTGAACCAGTTGCCCAGCCATTGCTATCTTTTTTTTTCCATTTCCAACCAAATTCTCTAAAGCATCACCAGATAATAATTATTCCTGAGCAGGCACCCTTTGTCTCAGAGCAGGCACACTTTGTCTCAGAGCAGGCACCCATTATCTCTGAGCAGGCACCCGTTATCTCTGAGCAGGCACCTGTTATCTCTGAGCAGGCACCTGTTATCTCTGAGCAGGCACCCGTTATCTCTGAGCAGGCACCCGTTATCTCTGAGCAGGCACCCGTTATCTCTGAGCAGGCACCCGTTATCTCTGAGCAGGCACCCGTTATCTCTGAGCAGGCACCCGTTATCTCTGAGCAGGCACCTGTTATCTCTGAGCAGGCACCCGTTATCTCTGAGCAGGCACCTGTTATCTCTGAGCAGGCACCCGTTATCTCTGAGCAGGCACCCGTTATCTCTGAGCAGGCACCCTTTATCTCTGAGCAGGCACCCTTTATCTCTGAGCAGGCACCCGTTATCTCAGGGAAGGCATCCATTATTCCTGAGCAGGCATCTATTATTAATCAGCACATCATCTTCATTTGCAGCACCATTGGAGCCAATAGAGATTGTTGTGATCAGTTATAACACAACGTCTATTTCTATAACATGGGGATCATCTGTAGATCCAACAGCTGAGAACTACATTATCATTGCTACATCAACTGGTACTGACACACAGGTTTGGACTCAATCCGTTGACGATCCAACACTATACACCTTCCAAGGACTTTTACCTGGAAGAATGTACACTATAACAATTCAAGTTACTGCAGCTTCTGGTAATTTGCAAGAGAACCAAATAACGCAGAGTACTGGTATGTATTATTATTATTAACAGTATACGTTTGTGAATGAATTTTGTAGCAGCACTTGGCATTTTCCTCTTCAAAACTATGTTGCCTAGTTTAAGTTTATCTAAATTCTTTCTTTGATTTTCTCCTTATAGTTCCTCTCCCGCCAGCAAACATCATATTTATATCATCCACGTCAACCAGCATCACAATTGCTTGGGATCCACCCTCTGCCGGTGATTATGAAAAGTTCCAAATATACTCTGCTGAAACTGACGAGGAGATGCTGACGCTGGCTGGCACCGTGGATATGGGGACGGCTGTATTTACGCTGGAGCGGCTGATGGAAGCTACAATGTATCAGATACAGGTGTTTACCGTGGTTGGAAGCGGCTCTGATGAAGTCAGGAGTGCTGCCAGGTCAACTCAACAGCAAACAAGTATTTATTTTTAAATTTTAAACTTACTTTTAAATTAAGCATGCTTATTCAAATCTGAATTTAACATAACAAAATATGCAGGTTCAGGGCCACCACAAAAACCTTCTCGTATCTGTTAAGGTAAAATCAATGACAGCACAAATTAAAATATATAAATCTCAACTGTTTAACGAAACTTAATTTTCTTGTTTCTTGGTTTATTAAAATATCACTAATTAATTTTACATAAAGAACAAATTATAACTAATTATAATACATGTATATCTGTTCTATTTTTATAGAAGAACCTTCCCAAATAAAAAAAAATTCTAAAATTTAAAAATATAAGAGGTAGTCACTAAACCATGTACTTTCACACTCAAGCAAGAGAATAGACATGTTGGTGAACTAGCCTTGCACTGTGAGTGTTTTATTGTTTACACTCCAGTTTTTTTCACAAATAAAAAAAAAAAAAAAAAAAAGAACTGCAGACCACACTTCTTTATATTTTTTAGTAGGCAAGCCATGTTTCCACATACAAAAATACACATAATATTTCTATTTAATTTATTTTATTTAAAAAAAAAATGATTTTAGAAGCATAACAATACAACGACTAGATTTGGTGTCAGTTTGCTCCCAATTCATACTGGAATATTGCCAGCAATAATTAATAAAGCTTGTTCAGAAAACCATTTATTCCCGACATCATATTCAATGGCTAGTTCTCAGGATCTACAACAGTAAATAAACAGAAATCATTTTGAACGTGGTTTTTAGATGACACCACCATATCGAATTTGGATTTGGACCATACCATTTCAAGCTGCAGGGTGTCTAAACAATGACTCAACAAACAATAAACACATCTTCCACCCACCACACATATTTTAGCCACAATTGAACAACCAAGAAAGCAACAAATATCAGGCTGCATCTTGAAAACAACGAGATACCACATTACAACCAGTCATTACAAACATGAAATCCTCCACCCCTCCCAGTACACCCTACAGCATTATGGTTCCTATACTCATTTGCATCTATGTACAACAAGCTTAGCCAATATATGCACCTGACTCATCAAACTTTTGACCAACCACTCATTCTAAATATTGTGGAGTGAGGGCGCTATTTACTAATGAGAGGAATCTTTTAAACGAATTAAACAGATATACTTCAATTATAATGATGCACAAATAAAATAAATAGTTTAATATTCCATTATGGCAGAGTAAATATATTAAAAAAAATTATAGATAAGATTCACTGACTTTGTTTTTAATAACATCATAACAGTTGATCTGACTGTGAATTAAAACATATTGTTCAACCCATTGCATTTCTGTGATGATTTGAGGCTATGACGTTTAGTTTACTTATTTGCGTAATGATATTGATACATTGTATGGAGCATCTTATGAGAACTTGGGTTCAGTTCCAGGCCTAGTAGTTGAGTAATAAACATCTTAGTTACTTAGTTGCTCTTCTCCAGTGCGTTATTTTCCCCTGACCAATACTCACTTGGTTCACTCTACCTTGAGAAGTCTGTTCTCAGTTTACAATGTCCTTAAATTAAATTAGCTTTTAAACATCTATTAATGTCAACTATTGTTGTCACTTTCACAAAAGTCTTAATTAATACTAATTGTTGATTTGATCAGAGTTATTAAAAAAATAATTATCGAATGATGGAAAAATCCATAATGTGCAATATTTGTGTGTTTAAAAAGTTAATCTTCGGAACATGAGCAAATTGTTAATATAGTCTGCTAACATGTAAAAAAAAAATTTTTTTTGATTTTCAGAAGCTACCATTCTTAGAGTCTTGACTACGACCATTAATTTCATCTATGTGAAATGGACAGCACCTTCCATAAGTTTTGACACGTACACTTTGACCTACGATCCATCAGATGGCTTACCAGCATCACCAATCCAGGACATTCCACCATTACAATCAACTCAAAGCATTAGTAGTCTAACACCTGGACAGGAATACAGTCTTGTGTTGTCTGTGGTTGGCATGACAACATCAGAGTTGGACTCGCTGAAAACAAGAACAAGTAAGATCAGTCATGAACAGCAGATTTATACTTTTTAGCTCCGCTGTTGACAACACGGAGCTCTTCATATTATTGATTGTCTATCGTCATCTCAGCTGAGAGGCTGCTTGTTAGCTCATTCTATGCAAGACTGAGTAAATTAAAGTTTTGAGGAAAAAGTCTTTTGCTTTTGGTTGCTATTTAATAAATACAAATTTTTATTCATTCTTCTTGAACAAACTTGATTATATTATCGACCATGTTGAAATCTCAGATCCGAGAGGTTATGTCAACAACCATTTTTAAGCTCCGTTGTCGAATTTGTCGAGCAGAGCTTATCATATGAATGATTGTCCCTCGCCGCCCATCGTCCATGTCAACTTTTTACTTTTTCGAATTCTTCTTGAAAACTAAAATTATTATTGCCTTCATACTTGGTGTATATGTACGTTGGGCAGACCTCTCTTAGATTTGTTCATTTCATGTTGATATCTTCAATTCTTTGATTGAAATATGCATTGCTAACGGCAGAGCTATCTCAGCTGAGAGACTGCTTCTTTTTGTTTTGAGTAGCAGTTTTTATTAGAGTTGACTTGATTCAGGTATAGAATGGTATTGTAATAGTGGACATCATTGTTTTCATCTACAGTATTTGCTTGTCTCAAATAAAAGTGCATATAAATGATCAGTATTTTTTGAATAATAGATAATTGAAATGTTACTATTTTTAACCACAGACACACTGCTGACATTCAAGTAAGTGCATACACTACAAATATAGCAAATAAGATAAGTATACAAATTTAATGAACTATATTGTTTATACTTGTCAGATCCATTACCACCTGGAGCTGTGACTATTGACGACTTTGGTGCTAATTTCATTGAAATCAGTTGGGCTGCCCCCATTGGTGAATCTATTTATGATCACTTTGAGATCACCTACGTGCCTGATGATCGTACTGATTCGCAACCTGTTCTTCTCCACGCCGTACTGCCACGAATGTTGCGAATTGATGGCCTTAATCCTTCTACCCAATATACTATTACAGTTGTGACGGTTAGTGGTGCAGCGAAGAGTTTATCCGGTAAAAGTGTTCAACAACTCACTGGTATGCATTACAATTTCATTTGAAACGTGTAGTGTAGTGGACATTTTCTCAATTATAGAAGTTTGTCCAGTCTTGTGAAATGATACAATAATTTAGAAATAATGTTCATTGTATATAGATTCTGAATATTGTCCAAATACATAAAATAATTAAGATATTTTTTCTATTTTTAGCGCCAGGAACAGAGGGTGCTATAACAGTTAAAGAGGTAACACATGACACTATTGTGCTATCTTGGGTACGTGTTACTGGAGCCGGAAGCTATACGATTGCCTACGCAGATGAGTTGCATACATCTTACATTACTGGTTTCGAGTTGGAAAATTTGGTACCTGGTCGACAGTATATGATTAGTATTACATCTAGTACTGGGACTGTAACGTCAATTACTCAGGCTACAAGTAAGTTTATATCAACTGGTGTTTTAACATTGATCTGTTGGGCAGGATGCATAAAATCTTCTTCTGACTGTGCATAAATGACTATTTTAGATTGTTTTTGTATTTTAATAACATCTTTTTGACATCTTTCTATACCTCCAGTTACAGGGAATAATATTGCAACATTTCAGGGAAACCAAAATTGTGTTTGCAGTGAACATCCTTAATGCGTATGGAATTAGAAAATGAAATGGAGGATGGTATAGATTTCATTACTGATGAAGCGACTGAAGAAAATCTAATTTTTTTTATTTGCTTCTCTACAGTTCCGTATACACCAGTGAATGTGCAAGTACAACTGGTAACATCTCGGAGCACCGTTGTCACCTGGGATAAAGTCACCCAAGGAGAGTTTGATTCTTATGAAGTCACTTATTATCCAACGAATGGGTTGACTGAGTCCCCTAGTTACATCACGCCAAAAGACAATTCACAAATCCTGCTGGATGGCCTCCTCCCAGAAACTGAATATACGATCTTTGTTTCATCGGTTACCGGATCCGGCAATTACAGAGTCAGCAGTGATAAAGTCATGGTCATAGCAACGACTGGTATGTATTAAACAGTGGTTGTCGTCCTGGTATATGCTTTTAAAGGGGAACCGCTCAATCCCATGGATTGCACCAAGTGCTCATGGGTAATTAACTCCGCCTCTGTCCACTGAGTAAATGAATGCTTTTTATGCTCGCTTGTGATTGACAGACATTTTGCATACATTAGCCGCCATTTTAAACTAGTCATTTTTACTTGTCGCGGCATGTTTCGGCTGAAAATAACAACATTTATACATCAAAAGCTTAACTAGATAAGTGTAATCGCCAGCGTACATATTCATGCCCCCGTAGAAATGTATTTGGAATCACAGCTTGATCTCTAAACATCGTAAATGGCACATATGTGGTAAAATACAAGACTGGTGTACTTTGTTAGGTTCATTTTGGATATGGCAGAACAGGTTACTGTACTTATTAGCTAGATGTATGAAGTGACATTTTAGCAAGTTACCATTTTAAATTACATTGTACAAAAGCATTTTGAACCTAGAAATATATACTAGTTGTTTCACTATTGGCCTTTCAGCTGATTGGGAAAGATTCATTTTTGACTCCCGTGTGCGAAGCACAAAAGGGAGTCTTTGCAGTTACCCTGTCTGTATGTCTGTATGTATGTATGTATGTATGTATGTCACTTTTTTTGTTCCACCGTTATCTCAAGAACCACTAATCAAATTTTGGTGAAACTTGGTACATAGATGCTCTGGGATAATGCGCAGAGTTGATTAGGTTTTGGTAAAAATCTATGAATATTAATTACCTAATTTGCATGATAATTAGCTGATTTTTAGCTGTTCCAAGACTGTTCCACTGATATCTGAAGAACCACTCATTGGATTTCAATGAAACTTGGCACATGGATTCTCTAACTAAAGCGCAGATTTGATTAGTTTGGGTAAAATCTGCAATATTAATTATCTAATTTACCATAATGATA